TGCATGCATTTGAGTTTATTGAGAATACCATGGCTTGGGTCAGGTGCACCTTAGTCCTCAAGCTGACATCTTTGCTCTTCAACACTTTAAAAAGGTCTTATGCAGCAGATTTGCCTAATGCAATACATTGTTTCTTGACTGCTGCTTCCATGAGTGTTGATGGTTGACCCAATAAGAATGAAGTCCTTGACAATTTCAATCTCTAGAAGAAACCCCTATTCAATCTCCAATTAAAATCCCTCTCTGTTTGTAAGTGAGAGGCCTGATGGATACAGATGGTTAGCTCTTCGAGAATCCCTTTTTAGCCCCCTGGAACTTGCCCAGTGCTATTGCTTTTGACTTTAAGTTTTGCCCAATATAAGTTGGTAAATACTGTATAGGAGAAAATAACTACCACCTGTAATTGTTGTTGTTAAGTGCCGTTAAATTGGCCCTGACCCACAGCGACCCTGCGTAGTATTTCTGAAGAGTAGCTGGTGAGCTTGAACTGCCTACCTAGCATTAGCCATTGTTTGTTTCCAGTTATTCCCTATGTTTTTATACATAATTAGATCATATTGTGTACATTATTCTATAACTTTAATTTCCTAAGTATTACAGGATTCCTAGTGTGGTGCTGCAGGGTAATGTTACTGGACCTCAGATTGGTGGTTCAAATGCACCAGGTGCTCCTCGCAAACTCCATACCGGGTTGCTATGAGTCAGAATTAACTCAACGACACTTAACAGCAACAACAAGATTATATCATAAGAATTTTCCATGTTGTTATTAAGCTCCTGAGTTTAGAAATTTGTTGGTGGGTGAGGCAAGAGTAGCTTGAAGAGAGTGTTGAATTTGGGGAGGGTTTCTTTGCATCTCCTGTAAAAGAAGGGATTGCCAAACACAAGGGACAGAAGTTAAGTGGAAAGGGTACATTTAATCTGCTTAGAAGAACAAGCTACTCTTCTAGAATTTAGCTTGTTGGTTGTACATGATGAAGTGATGTTTATTACAATGAGTCGTATAATCTTGAAAAGAAGTGTAGTGTGAGTTTCACATACAATACCAATAATTAATTTTATTTAATTGCAAGTAACTTGAGTATCTCTTCTTTAAAGTCCCCTCTCTCCTTGTTTTACCTCTAATTCAAACTCTCCACCTTCCTGTCAGTATGAAGTTATAATTGGTCAAAGTATAACCCAGTGCTCACAGCTGTTAGGTCAATTTCAACTCATAGCAACCCAACAGGACAGATTAGAACTGCCCCACAGGGTTACCACAGCTATACATTTTTATGGAAGCTGACTGCCACATCTTTCACCAGCTTTGGAGCAGCTCATAGGTTTGAATTACCAACTTTTTGGCTGACAGCTAAACACTGTAATTACTGTGCCACCAGAGTTCCTGACCAAGATCTATCACATTATACTTTCATGTTTAAATTTAGTATTCTGTTTCAGGGCAAGAAGTTGCCTTATCATCTTGGAGATGATGCAGAGGAAGGGGAAGTTTCCGATGAGGACAGTGCAGATGAAATTGAAGATGAGTGCAAGTTCAAGCTGCATTATGTAAGTTACAGACTTGGCCATACTTCTTACCCTCAATATGCTTCTGTGTGAATGCCATTCCAGATTGCTCATGTTGGAATCCTCACAAATGTGATAGCAAAAGTACACAAGAAAAAAAAAAATTTTAATGATCTTTTCTGCTGGCATACAGGCACTCATTTTATTGTAGAGTTGAAAGAATATTAGAATTGATCCATCCAACCTTGTCTCAAGGGACAAATCCCCCCCTATTACAAAAATAAAATGATGGTTGAAAATGCCAGTGTCTGAGCTAGTGCTGTTATAACACAAATATCACAAATGGCGACCTTCAAAGAAAACTATCGTCTTACAGCACAGTAGGCTAGAAGTTCAAACTCAAGGTACGGCTCTAGAAGGAGGTCTTTCCAAGTCTATTTCAGCTTCTGGTAGTTACTGGCGCTGCTGGGCATATCGATACATCTGTCACATGTGTATATGTCTTCACATGGCATCTTCCTTTGTATGTGTGTGTCTGTATCTAGTCTACTGTTTTTATAACTAAAAAGAGATTAGGTTTTGAACCCACCTCCTCTGGAGTGACTTCATTAGTAGAAAAAAAGCAAAACCAATTTCCACACCCTATGCATAGGTAAAGGGGCCAGGGCTTCATTACATCTTTTAAGAGTACATCATTTAATGCCCAATTGCCATTGGTTTTGCTAACCTAAGCCAGCTGCTGTCTTGCTTCCCTTTCCCTATGCTAGTAGCTCTGCTGTGCTACATGTGAAGTTAGTATGTAGAATGCCAACTACACATGGACATGTTTCTCTGGGATGCCTGTCCCCTGAGAAAATATTATAAACTCTTTCCAGATCTGAAATTTTATGTTTTAAACAGCTTGTCTTAGTTATCTAGTACTGCTGTAACAGAAATACCACAAGTGGATGGCTTTGACAACCATAAATTTATTCTGTCAGTTAGGAAGCTTGTTGTTGTTAGGTGCCATCGAGTTGATACCAACTCATAGTAACCCTATGCACAACAGAATGAAACACTGCCCAGTTCTGGGCCAACCTCATAATTGTTGCTATGCGTGAGCCCATTGATGCTGTCACATTGCCAGTCTCACTGGGGTCTTCC